ATCATTTGACGGTAGGCAAAGTACCAATTCGGAAAAAACTTTAGAGTTTTGCAGGAATTCAAATTCAAAAATTAGAGATATTTGGCAGGCAATAAAGAAAATACACGTTCTTAGCATTAATTCTATAAACCCTGAAAAGTTTAAAAAATTTTTGAGGAAGGAGTGAAATTTAAAAGAATGCTTGAAATGTTAGTGTTTTTCGTAGTGTAGCAAATGGGTAGGCAAGTTGTCATCTACCTCTCATATTTCTGCCCTGCGGCATTGCGTGTACATAATTTCAGAGCAGAACAAGGTTTAATGAAGTGATTTCAATTTATTAATGCAATGACTTAACGGTTACACAATATTCTCTTGTAAACATTTTTTCATGAAATGCTATAATCCGGTAGTTATGCTGGAAATGAGACATTAATAAACTGACAATTCTAGAAATGAAGTAGAACTGATCATTGGTTGTAGCCATAATAAAGAATTTCCTCTAATTAATATATATATATATATATTTCCGGCGAGTCGTACGCATTTTCTAGCGCAAATTCCGGATTTGCAGAGAAAGTAATAAAAGCATAAGGCATGAATGAATGAAAGTAAATGGATTCCAAAGTTCACAATCAAACTTAAAATTTGAAAATAGTTGAGGTCAAGAAAATATAAAAGTTCATGTAGTTGATATTTATCATTCTATACTAATTGTAAAAGAGATGATTGTAGGTTAAAGATTTATAAAATAATCATTAGCATTAATTAATGAATTAATTAATAACCTATTCTAATAGTTGATAAGATAAAAATATAGTCGTGTAAGTCAATATTTTTCAAAAAATTTCTTCGAGATTTCATTAATTTTGAAAGTTATTTTCTGGGCGATATAAATTTACGATTTAAAAATGAAATAATCTAAACATTTTGTTTTTTTGTTTTTTTTTTTTTATCAAAAAGTATTTTAAAAGGTTATTATTGGCATTTTTCATCTTTATTCGTAGTTCTTTTATTACATTGTAATATTGAAGTATTACTAAAATTTAAAGAAAAAAAAAAGTGAAAAGTGAAAAAACTTTGGTTTGAAAACAAGTTGTACTTTCGAATATTTCAACAAAATCTTATATTAGAAAGAGAATTTAGCAATGATATTAAAGGTTTTTTACTAAAAGATAACTCATAAATTTAGCAAAAAAATTCAAAACGATCATTTTAGTTACATCTTTTTCGATTAATTATTTTAAAAAAAGTTGCATTCATGCACAAATTTCACTTTCATTATGTAACAAATTGAAAAAAGGCAATAGTTGATGATAAATTGGTACCGGTTTGTGTCTCATTAATCGTTCATTTTATAATTTTATTTTCTTTGAAATTTAATTTACACCTCTCAAAGTTTTTCCTTCATTTAAACAGAAAAAAAAAAAAAAAAAAAGGAAATAAAATTAAAATACAAAGTTCTACAAAACGAGAAATTATAGTTGGTTCCAATTGAACAAAAATCGTTCCATTTTAAGCAAAATAAAAAGTACTTCGTTTAAAATTTAATTTATTTTTTTGATTGCTATGAAATCAAATTGCTTTAAAATTTGATCTTCTATAGGTATACATACATATAAATGTCCTCAGGTAATTAAGAAATTTGATGATCAAAATATGGCAAGAAGGAAAGGGAAAGTGGCAACAATTGATTGATTTATTTATTTTTTTTATGTAAGTTTTTTAATTTAACAATTACAAAAACAAAAAAAAAAAAAAAAATAAGTAAAACGAGTAAGTTTGTCAACTGAAATAATTTATGAGAAAAAAAAAAGAAAGAAATAAAGCGAATTGGAAGATTTCATTTATCGATGATATAATTTGATAAAATTATTTATTAATTATCAAATAAATATTATTGTCAATTTTGTCGACAATAATTGTAAAAGGGTTAATTTGAGTTAATTACTGCAAATTATAAGATTTCAATTAATTACACTGATATTTTTTTTTTCGTTTGCAGTGAAGAAGATAGTCAGGAAAGTAAAGTAAAGTAAAGTAAAAGTTATGTTCTAAATCAATTCTTAAATATTCAAAATTTATATTCCAAATCGGTTCGAAATGAGAATTAATTGATGAGAAATTCATTTAAAAAGAAAATAGATGTTTAAATCTAGTATTACTCACATTTTTCTTCAGAATACAAAGGTATATAAATTAAAAATGAACTGAAGCGGTAATTTTTAAAAAATTAATTTGCTAATTTTTTTTTTCATTATCTAAAACAATTAAAAATATTATATTTAGCTTATCAGTATGGCAATCTTTGGAATATAATATCTAACTTTTTTCACAACGATATTTGAAATTGCAATAATATTTGCATTTAATTTAAATAAAAAATTAATACGAATGGAAAAGAGCATTTTTTTAATGATAAAATTTTATATAAAAAATAGAAAATATTGAAAAAAAAGCAACTTTCCTATATTAGCTCAACAATTAATTGATATAATTCAACAAAAAAAAAAAATTATGAATTTTTTGAAAATTTTTGAGAAAATTTAAAAATAAAAGCAAAAAAAGTAAGGGAAAGTTTTTTTTTGTCTCCTATTAGTTTGTTACTTAAAAGTTTTCTTTTTATCTTTAATTTAAAAAAAAAAAAAAAAAAAAAAAACGAATATTATATTAGAATTAGTTGAATTATTACCATATCGCATAATTTCACAATTAACTTTTATAATTTCCAAATGAAATTGACTTAAATACTTATTAATCCATTTCCAATTAATGTCAGTAATTCAATTAAAATTCACAATTAGCCATATTATAATTTTCAAATTTTGTTATGAACTGAAAAATAGGAAAAGTTAGACTGTTCTAAGCATTAAAAAAAGAAAATAAAAAATAAAAAACGAATAAAATCATATATGCTAATCAAAAATCAATTAAAAATTTGATTTAAATAAGATTTTGTTTAAATCGAAATTGTTGTTGCAAAAGAGAAAATAAATTAGTTTATTTTAATTAAATGTCATCAAAATTTTGTGGAAATTAATTTAAAATTAAAATATAAAATATTTATAGCATATTTAATCATAGCAACAACAAATATAGCAAAAAAAATTTTCAATTATACAAAAAACCTTTTTTTTTTTTTTTAAAAAATTGACAAATTGAAATGTGAAAATTCCCTTTCTTCTTTACCCACTCTCTATCTCTTCACCCTTTTCTTTCTTTCATTTTTTTTTTCTCTTTTTTTTTGCTTTCGTATTGTTTTTTTCTTTTTGTGTGTGTAAATTTTTGAGAAAAATATTTTTCCATCTAACTCTTTCAATTATTTTATTTATTTTAAATGCATTTTTAATGAATACTTTCTTTTCATCTGTTCCTCTCTCTCTCTCTCCCTCTTTCTCTCTCTCTCTCTTTCTCTTGTTTCTTTTTCAGGAGGGAATTTTTTTTTTTTCGCTTCAATGTATGTATTAAATTCATTTTAATTCTAGTAAATTCGGGAAAAAACTTGATTTTTTCTCGACCTCAAAAAACTATCATAAATTTCAATTATGTTTCAAGACATACACAGACACAGACATACACAGACACAGACAGACACATACATAAGCATGCATAGATGACAACAAGCATTGGTGTATATATAAAAAGGAAATTTGGGGGGGACAACCTAAGTGTCATCAAAATTCATTGCTACAGCTCTTTTAGCAGCGACATGTCAACAAAACTAATAAATTTAAATTTGTCACACTAATAAGCTAATTGTTATTTTTATCATTTACTGCTTGTAATTTTGTAATTTTTCAGCAATTTTCTTATGCAAAAGTTTAAATTTTATTGTTTATAATGTTACATTCATCATTTTTTTTTTTTTTGTTAATTAAATTTTTTAATTAAATTAGGAAGAAAGCGAAAAAAGAATTTATGCTAATTTATTGTAATTTAACTAATTCCAAATGTGAAATTAGCATAAATGAAAGTATCATTGTAATCAAAATTGTTAAATTTTGTTACTATTATTAGCATTCAGTATTCAAATAAATTACTGTTAAATAAAATAAATCAAAAAATTAAAAATTGTAATCAAAAATTTTCTTAAAAATTAGTATAAAATTTTGTTTCATATATTAAAATGCTCAAATTTTGTTATTATTATTAGCATTCAGTATTCAAATAAAATTATTATCCTATCGCAATGTTTAATAAAATAATTTTTCATTTAGTTACTATCATTCAAATTCGAACATTTAAATATTCCATAATATTTTCATTTCATTAAAAATTGTTATAATAATTCCATAAAATGTATAATGTCTACTTAACTTCTAACTTTGTTAAAAAAAAAAATGTTTTTATTTTTTAAAATTTTTTTTTTTTTTGATTTTCAAAGTGAAAAATTAAAAAATATAAATGTTTAATGGAAGTGAAATAAAATTATATAAAAAGTAATTGGCTTTAAATCATTTTTATTGCAGAATTTTTGATGAATTTTTCTTCATGCAATGATAATTTTAAAATTTACTAATTTTCAAACTTCCAAAATTACTTAATTACTGCAAAAATTTTTGAACTTATTCAACTTTTCAAGCAGACATTAATATAATTTGTAAATTTTTGTTAAATCTAGGATGCAACTAAATTTGTCAATATTAATTATCAAAAACAGCCGACACTTACAATATTTTTAATGAAATTTTCAAACTGAAATTATTCGTACAAATTACACTAAAATCATTTCCCTTTTAATTAATGACATAATTAGTTTTTAACAAATTATATTTATAATTATTTTTCAAGTTTCTTATCGTTGAAAAATTAATAACTCAAATAAAAATGTATTTGAATTCGTATGGAAGAGGAAAAAAAAAAAAAGTTCGGAAACCTGCTAACAGATCATTAATTGATAATTTCCACAAGAAAACATCATTGAATTCTCGTAATAAAAAGTGCTAAAATTGTCTTTTTGATAAAGTTTATAAAAATTTGAACAAATATTTAAACTTTTAATGTTCAAATTTTTTTAGATTTTAATGTGGTTAATACTACTATTTATTTGTTTAACATTTGTTGCAAAAAGTATTTTTGGCCAAAATCAAATTAGCCAAGCATCAAGTCATTTCCTTGAAAATTGTGACCAGGCACCAACATTAGCAATTCGTACGACATGTTTAAATGTAAGCTATTTAAAAAAAGAAAAAAAAAAAGTTAAAATTTTCTATTTTAAGATTTTTTTTTTAAAAATAATTAATTTTTAATTTTAATTTTTTTTTTTTTTAGCTTCAAAGAATAGCAAATAATTCACGGAAGAATTTCGAACAACAAGCTCAAGTTATCATTCATCCACCTGGTATTCCGGAACATTTGAGACCTGGTATTGTAATGCCAGGTTCAAGAGGTCAAGTTGCAAGTAATCCATATGATTGCATGACACTTACCTGTCTCTGTCCATATTTCGCGGTAAATAAATTTCTTATCAAACTTATAAATTTTAAATTATTTTTCAAATTTAATTTATTTTATATTAATTAAAAATTAACAATATTATTGCTTTTTTTTATTATTTCAAATTTAAAATAAACTGCAAAACTTTCCCACAGGGTGGCATCGATCCACAAAATCAATGTGTACTACGAAATGGTCAAATTATTACAATGGCATACCGGAAGGAATACCGGATGTTAACCGAAGATGAGCGATTACGGTATCATAATGCACTTAATGTGTTGAAACAAAGAGGAGAATATGATCGGATTAGCATGGAACATCAATCAGTTAGTTGACCTTTTCTTGACCTTTTTAAAATAGAAAATAGAAAGGTTAGTAATTCATAAAAGATGATTGCATTAAAATGAAAATAATGTGAAAAAAAAGTGCTAATTTAAATTTTGATGAAATTTTTGAAATGTAATAGTAAAATGTTTAAAAATTAAAAAAGAATAAAATCAATTATTTTTGTTGAAAAAAATATAAATGAGTGATGAAAAATTAATTATTTTTAAAATTTAATCTGGATAATTTCTCGAGAATTGCATATATGTTAATTGATTTGGTGTTTAAGGTTGGAGGAAGAGGTGGTGCACATTCCGGACCCGGTTTCTTACCATGGCACCGTGAATATATCAAAAGGTAATTTGTATTATTTTAGTTTTTTTATTTTATCATAAATATCAACAAACATAAAATTTTATACTAAATATTGTTTGAAGCAGTCTGCTCATTAATTTTTTAACCAATTGTTTAGAAATTTTAAAAAATTTAAAAAAAAAAATATTCCATTTTTTTTTTTTTTCATATAAATAAACTTAATATTTTATTCTCTCAATTAATTTTCTTCAGTAATTTTTCCATTATATTAAAGTAATTCAAATTTTTAAAATTTAATTTTAATTTTATTTTTAGATTTGAAATTGCACTTCGACTTATTGATCCAACAGTTTCTGTACCGTATTGGGATTCCGTTTTGGATAGTTATTTGCCGAATCCGAGTGATTCTATTTTTTTTAGTCCACTTTTCATGGGTGAAACTGATTTCTTCGGTAATGTCATCAATGGCCCATTTGCATATTGGAATACACTTGATGGACGAAGTACCATAATAAGGTCAATAAAATTTAAAAAAAAAATTTTAAAGAAAAAATAAAATAAGAAAAAAATAATTAATTAATTAATTAATGTTTGCGATATTTTATTTAATAGTATGTTATTGTATATGAAATTAACAATTTGATAATTAAGTATAATTAACGCTTGGCCCTTTTTTTTTCCACTAATTAATTAATTAAACAATCTCTAGAAATCTTGGCCAAGAAGGACAACTTTTCACAGAATTAAGCATACAACAAGTAATGCAACAAAATAGAATTGAAAATATTCTCTCATATACTGCACCAATGCAAGGTTTTCTTTTCTTTTTTCGCTGATATAAAACTTTTTTTAAAATTTATTTAATTAATTTTTTATTAAATCTATTTTAATTATTTTTTATTTTCAAAATTAAATTACACACATGCATGTATAAAATTGAAAAAAGAAAAAAAAATCAGTGAAATTAAATATGATAATGATATTTGATCAGATTTTTTTTTTTTTTAAAGTAAATGTACTAATCAATCAAAGTTTGTTATTTGAAAAAAAAATTGTTAAAAATAAATATTACTGTTTTTTTTCACACGAAATTTGATAAAGTTAGTTATATAAAAAATTAATTTATTTCTTTAAAAGTGAAATAAAAATAAAGCACAAAAATTTTTTTTAACAATTTTTATTTGCTTTTTCAGAATGTTTGTGATCTGACATTCATGTTTAAATTTGAGAAAAAAATAAATGAGTTAAATTAAATATGATAATGATACTTTATCAGATAGTACAAAAATTTTTAAACAATTTTATATTTTAATTTTCAGGATGTCCATATCCGGTAAATTATGGTGCATTAGAATATTCGCATTCTAATGTTCATCTCTGGATAGGTGGTCATATGAAACCACCGGAACAATCATCTAATGATCCGATATTTTTCTCTCATCATGCATTTGTTGATTTCATCTGGGAATTATGGCGACAAAATGTTCAACCAATGTGGTCTCGAGAATTGGTATCAACCTCTTTTTTTTCTCTCTCTCTCTCTTTTTCTTCATTTATTGATAAAAAAGAATATTATTGTAATAAATTTAAGATAAATAAAATAATAATATATTATAAAATTCTAATTTGAATGATTTATTTATCTACAATGATCAAATATTTTTTGAATTTTAATAAATTAAACATAAATATTTTATCTTAAATTTATTTTTTTTTTTTTTTAATAAAATTAAACATAAATATTATCTGAATTTTTTAATAAATTATACATAAATATTTTATCTTAAAAAAAAATTATTTATTTATTTGTTTATTTGTTTATTTATTTATTTATTTATTTTGTTAGGAATATCCACCAGATATAGCAGCATGCGCTGATCCACAACATTTCAGTTATGCATTAATGCGACCATTTTTCACACTTTTCAATCGAGATGGCATGTTTTCCTTTACTTTACTTTACTTTTTTTTTTTTCTCATAACAATATTCTTGTTTTAAATCATATTTTTATATTTGCTAATTGATTTTAGTAAAATTTTATGATATCATAAAAGTGAGAACATTGTTCGAAGGTTAAGAACCGGCTTTAGACAAATAGCGCTTCAATTTTTGCAAAAAGGGAAAGTCTTCAAATGATTGCTTTCAATGAAAGGAAAACAAATGGAAGCAATCTTTTCCAAATAGTTCAATTTAATTTTAAAAATATAACACTAAATTATTTATCAAATAATTGATGAAAATGAATAATTATAGATGGAAGATGGTTAAATGTAAACAAATAACAACACAAAACGAATGAAAATATTTTCGTGGGGTATTTCAGAAGAAGATAGATGGAACATTTTTTTTTTTTTTTTTTTAAATTCAAAATTAATGAAACCAAAAAAAAAAGTATTTTAAATGACCGATGAAATTTGATAGATAATTTTAATTAATTAGCAAGAAAATATTATTATATATATTAAAAACAAAAAAAAAAAAAAAAAAAAAAAATGGAAACAGTTATACTTAATTGAATTGTTGAAAATAGATAAAATGGTTAATATAAAATTTAAAATTCATGATTGAAAAATTTCTTCAAATTTTTTTTCAAAGAACTCAAAAATTTAAGAAAAAGATTTCAATTGTTTGATACATATGAAGTTAATATTTCATATAATATTCTACAAATATATTTTATGTATTTCAATATTTACAAAAAAAAAAAAAAAATTATAAATTTTAAAACAAAAGTTTTTTTTTTTTTTGCTCTTCAAAATTGATTAATTTATAAAAAGTGAAAGGTATTTCAGGTTTATCGAATATGTACACCGATCAAATGTATCGTTTTGCACCACGTCCTGGTTGCACCGCTGAAATTCCAACTTGTGGTACACCGTATCTCTTCTGTGATACTCGTGGCATTGCTCATTGTGTTGCTAAAATTAAGCTAAATGGTTTATGTGTTGGTTTCGAAGGTTTTGATGCTTGCTTTAATGGTATTTGTCATATGGGACGGTGTGTTTATGGTCCAACACCAGCGGTAGCTTTTTTTTTTTGTTGTAAAAAAAAGCGAAAAAATTTTACAATTTTTAAAATTTAAACTTTATTTTTTTTTTTAGAAAAATAATAATATTATAAAATTTGACATTGCTTAAAAATATTTAACAATTTTTTTGTTTATTTTTTTTTTTCTTTTGAAGTAGAAATTAAATTTTTCTATCATAGATTTATTTGCAGCCATTTGTGCCACAAACAAGTCTTTCACAAGTGCAACAGACAGAAATTTCACAAACACAAATTCGGCAACGATTTGTTGATTGCTTCAATCGACATCCATGCTGTGAAGCTTGGGCTAATTTAGATGAATGCAGAAGAAATCGTAATTACATGCAGCAATATTGTCGTGCTGCATGTCACATTTGCAATTCTACATTTAATACTACCAATGGTAACTTTTTTGCTAATTTAAAAAAAAAAAAAAAAGAAAAGAAAAAGCAATCATTAAAATTTTTTTTAAAAAAAAAAACGATTGTTATAGTATAATTAAGCGAAACAGAAATGATTTAATTATATTATTATTTCTTTCTTTTTTTGTAGATTTAAAAAAAAAAAAATGCTATAGTAAAAGTAAGAAATTGTAAAAAATTTTAAATATTTCTTAGTTTTATTTCATTTTATTTTTTTTGTTTTGTTTTTCTTTTGCTTTTACTTTTTTTTTTTTTTTGTTTGATAATATTTGAAATGAAAATAAACATTTCAGAATGTAGTGATCGTCATATTGCCTGCAGGCAATGGAGTATTGATGGTCAATGTCGAGGTGATTCGGATCAATTTATGGAAGAAAACTGTCGTCAATCATGTCACTTTTGTAACACACCAAAAAATACCTCATGTCCAATTCCAATACCGGTTATTATTAATTTCTAAAAACAAAAACAAAAACAGAGTTTATTATATTTAATTACATCTTAAATTTACTTAAAGCAATCGTTTCATAATTTTGCTAATAATTACTTCTTAATTTACCTAAAGTATGATGAGTAATGATAATAATAATAATAATAAAGATAATGATGATAATAATAATAATTAATTAAAATTAACAATCACTAAAACAATTTCGAGTATTATTACATTTAATTACATCTTAAATTTACTTAAAGCAATCGTTTCATAATTTTGCTAATATTAAATAATAATAATAATAATAATAATAATAATAATAATAAAGATAATGATGATAATAATAATAATTAATTAAAAATTAACAATCACTAAAACAATTTCGAGTATTGAATATACATTTTTTCAGATTCGTTCTCGACTTCATGCATCTGTAATTAATGTAGAGGTACCAATAATAATTGTAACCAATGATTCATCAAATGCATTGACAGAAATTTCTTCTCGTGAAACATTAAAAAAAAGCTAAGTCAAGTAATTTATGAAAAAGGATCGTTCTAATTAAAACTAAATTTGTATGAAAATTAATTAATTAATCGGATAATTCTGATTAGAAATTTAATAATTTGAAATTTGCATATATTTTTGCGGTAAATTTTCAAAAAATCACATAGCAATTTGATCAAAATTAATTTTAAAATTGAATATTCATTCATCCATTAATTAGCAAAATGATTACTTTCTCATGTAAATAAGTTATTTATTTAATTCTTTCATTATTAGTTTTTCTTTATGCAATCATTTAATTATAAATTATAAAAAAATATTACCTCAATTTGTTTTCATTTTAAATTAAATTTGAATTTTGGACATTTTTTAAATGTATTTATTTCATTCATTTCTTCTTGTGCAAATTCGTTTCATTATGTATTTATTTGTAATTTAATTAGTCTTATAGTTTGGAATTAATTGTCCAACTAAACAATTGTATTTATTGTTTTTGCTTATATTTGTATTTAATTCTTGAATTCAGATCTGATTTTTTAATTCTTTCATGAAATTTGATTATTTAAAAAAAAAAAATGTATTTTGAATTTATTTCAAATGTATCACTTTTCAATTCTATCACTTTTTTTATTGTTATTAGATTATAAGTTTAACTTTAGGTACCACTTTTCTTCTTCTGTAGTTAATTTTTTTTTTTTTTTAAACTTGCCCTAATGAATTTATCTGATATCATAAGTAAGTTAATTAATTAAAAAAAAAAAAAATTTGAAGAATTATTGTAAAATTATTAGCAATTGAAAGATTTGAATTCATAATGTATGATAAAAAGAGCAGAGAGATTTATTTAAATTACAGCAAAATTAATAAATTATTCTCGAGTACTTTGATCAGTTCAGTTTTTTTTTTTTTTTTATATGAGTTCAAGAAAAAAGGAAAAGTAAGAAATAACAGTGACAAATTTCAGATCAAAAAAATTATGCAAATATTTTGATGCATTAAAAGTTATTTCTTAAAAAAAAAAATAAATAAAATAAATTCATAACTACCAGAATGTAACAAAAGTGTTTCATAAAAATTTTCTTTTTTTTTTTTTTTCATTTTAAAACTTTAAAATATTTATGCTTCAAATGAATGCTATTCGATGTGGAACACATTGAATGATAATTAAGTGAAAGGTAAGCAAATAATTGAACAGGAATTAACAAGAAATTAATGCAAACAACGACACACATACAAGTAATCATAAAAATTTTACGCAAACTTTTTTTAATTTTAATTTTTTTTAAAAAAAAAAAAAAAAACGAATGAAGTATGACATATATTTCAATGCTTACAGGAATGTTTTAAAAAATAAAATGAGAAAAGAATAAAAAAAGTGAAAAAATAGAAATCAAATATTTCTTCTGAGAAAAAAAAAATGAAGTGATTTTAAAAGTTAAAATAAAAATTTTTAATTTAAAATTAAAATAGTGGTATTTTAAATTAAATAACCTTTTTTCTTTTTTTTTTTTGGAGTAATAAATTGATAAAAAAAAAAGAAAAACTAATTTAATTAACATTGTATTATATGATAAAAATATTTGTTTGAATTAAAATATAAAGTAAAGTAAAAGTTTTATATAAAGTTAATGTGAAAAAAAAAAAAAAAAATGAAATGAATGAAATATAGGAGAAGAGAAAAGGAAAGGAAGTGAAAAAAGAAAAGGAGAAAGAGAGAAAAGAAAGGGAAAATTGAAATTGTTGGTACAAATTTGATTTAAGATCAATTTTTGAAATTCACAATAACAGGTTTGTTCCATTCTTTTCATTCTCAATTCAAATTTTAATTCATTCTTTTTGCAAAAGAGCAAGTTTTTGTCAAACCAAATACATTATAATGTCATAAATTTTAATGTAAAATTTGATTGAAAAATTATTACGCAATGATTACAAATAATTTATATTTTTTATAATTGCATTATTAATTTAAAATTATTATCGTTGTAAAAACAAACTTTGCTATGCATAAAATTATAATTTAAACATTGATAAATGCATAAAATTATGATTTAAGTATTGATAAATGCATAAAATTATGATTTAAGTATTGATAAATGCGTAAAATTATGATTTAAGTATTGATAATGCAACTTATAGGAATAATATTACTAATAATTGATAATTGATAATTAATAATTACTATTAATTTAAAATTATTATCGTTGTGAAAACAAACTTTGCTATGCGTTAAATAATGATTTAAGTTTTGATAAATGCAATTTATAAGAATATTATTACTAATAATTGGTAATTAATAATTACTAATAATATTAGTTTTAATTTTTTGCTAACTGAAATGAAAATGATATAATCAAAAAGAGTAAAAAACAATTTTATTTTTTTGGGAAAGAAAAAAAAAAATATAAGAAAAATAAAAAGGTAGTAATGCTAGTAGTAAGTACTTAAAATTAAACGATTCAACAATTTTTTTTTTCTTTTTCCTTCTAAAATTTTCATCACATTTCATTTCTTCCAATAAACATAACAACTATTTCATTTTTTTTTTCTTATTTTAGAAAAAACAGGATAAGTGTTACATAGAGAGTTTAAATTTTAAAAATGCTTAGAGGCGGAGTTGAAAGTTTAATTCTGGAAGAATTATATAAAAGAAGCATTTTTGTTCTCACTATCAAACATTCTTCTTTTGTCGCCGGAATTTTCATCAGGTTTTACCGGAAATGCTAAATGTCAAAATGTTATTACTTATTTGTATATTTTTTTTGCTAATAATTGTTTTCTTTTTTATTTTCTATTTTAATTATTTTTAATTATTAAAATTAAAATTTCACCTGTATTCATTTCCAATATGTAAATTTTGTTGATTATTAGATGTAAAATTTTTTTTTTCTTAATACACAATTTCTAAAATTTAATAGTATATTTACAAAAAAAAAGAATTGTTTGTTGATTAACTTTTAGAAATTGGAAAAGTAAAATTTGAAAGTTAAAAGGAAACTGTTAAGTATAAGTTATACTTATGACTTTATCACTTATCACCGTTAACAATTATCAGTTAATTTTGACAAACCTAGAAAGATAAATGAAATATTAAGTAATAAAATTATCTTTTAATTATAATTAGAAATTAATTATAAAAATTCACATCGACCAATTAATATTATACAAAATTATTATTATTATTATTTTTTTTTTTAAAATAGGATGCAATGTAAGCTAATTTAAATTTCATTGAAATATGTTTCATATTCTATTTAAAATTTTATACCAATCAAATTAATCTCATCAATATGTTTGTCATTTTAATTTCTCGTAAATAATCAATCAGTGTTGTCATATTCAAACATTATCAACAAACAAATAAATAAATAAGCAAAAATAAAAACAACAAAATTTTAAATCAAAATTTTTATTTTCCAAAAATGAAACAATTTATTCAATTTATTATGATTTTATCAAAATACTATTAATTTACAATTAAATTAAAATTTATTCTTGTTTTTTCTCATCTTTTGATATAATTCTAAATTTTCAAATATATTTCTATAGCACAAAATTAAAACATTTATATTTTATTTAAGTAAAGTTTAGTTTTTTTTATCTAAATAAATTTTAGATTAAATTAGAAGAAAATTTTTTTCTATTATCAATTCAAAATTTACATTCATTTAAAAGACTATCATTCCATTTAATTGGTCATCAATATTTCGGTCACTTAAATGAAACACTTTAGAAAATAAATTTGATATAATTTCTTCTTCTTCTTCTTCATTTTTTTTTTTTCAAACCTGTATTGTTTACATTTTTTATCACTGATACTTTTTCTTTTTTTTTGCTTCCTATAATTTCAATTTTTTTTATATTTAATTTTTAATGTTTAAATATCTAACATATGCTATGACATTTTTACTTTTGCCCTCAATTCTTTACTTTTTTAATTTGTCAATTTTTTCAAATTTCAAAAAACATTTGAGAATTTATTCTCACTAATATCAGTTTATTGTTTAGTATTCTTATCATTTTGTTAGCTTATCATTTGTTATCAATATATAATATTCTTAATTATTATTAATAAATAATCAATATGAATTTGATAAGGATAGGAATAAAATTTTCCTTACAAATTTCAAATATTTAATTAGATTTAGCAATTTTATTATTTTGGTTTTTTTAAAAAATACATTTTATACTTTCTTTTTTTTTTTTTTCTCCATTAATTAAATAAAATTTAATTGTATCAATCATTCGTCTATTTCAATCTTTTACAATTTTATTTATTTTACTACTAAAACTTTTCCTTTGTTAAACAATATTTTCTTTTTTTAATTTATTAAACAAATAAAGAAAGAAAAATCTTAACATTGTATTTTGTAAATTTTTACTAACTTTTTCAATTATTAAATTTTAGTCTTTCATTATTTTGATCTATCTTTTCCGATTGATTGATTATGCATAAATATGAAAATTGATCAAAAGTTTTAAAGCTTAATGCAAAATTTTATTAGCTGGTTTTTCAACTAACATTCAAATTATTAAACATTAATTTAGCACAAAGTGCTTAATTCATTTATTTATTGATTCATTCAATTTAAATCCATTACTCTACTCTAATATCTGGTTCCAACCACCTGTGACATTCATAATTTTAAATAATTGTTAATTAAATATTATTATTGTAGCTAATTGAGAAAATAAATAATTCATATTTACCTGATCTAGAAGGAGGAAAGCTTATTATTTACTATCATTAAAATATATATTATTTATTCAATTAGTACTTCATTTATTCCTTACAATTATTATCAGTGTACTATTATTATTATTATTTATTATTATTATTATTATATTATTATTATTATTGTTATTGTTATTATTTTGTTTTGATAATATCAAATTCAAAATAATCATCTTATGAACAAAGATCGTTTGTTTATATCTTAATGCTAAATTTAAGTATGAAAAGCAAATTAAAAAAAAAAAAAAAAAGGAAGAAGGAAAGAAGCTAAGAAATGAAAACAACAAAATTATTCAAACATTTCATTTATTATACCTAATTTATATTTATTTAATTCACATTAATTATAAAAGAAAATTTCTATTTTTAATTGAAAATTCAAATATTACTAAAACTTTTATCATAATCAATAGTCCAAATTACAATTAAAAGCTATTAAAATTCTTTTTTTTTTTTTTTGAAAAAATTTATTTATTAATGATGTTTATATCATTTTTTTCAAAATTAAATTAAAATTTACTAATTTTAACAATGAATTACATAAAAAAGAAAAAAACAACAAAATGTTTATTAAAATTTGATGTGACAGAAGAATGCATCGTATTAATACAAATGACATTTTACGGTATAGATCAAACAAAATTTGATAATTATCGGAATTTAAAGGATTAATTATTAGAGAATGAATCAAACATTTCCTCTCTCTCTCTCTCTCTCTCTCTCTCGGATATTGAGAAATGAAATTTCAAAATTTAGTCATCGAGAAAAAATTGTAAGAATTAAATCATTGGAAAAAAAGATTAAGAATTTCTTACTCTCCAAAACATAAATAATTTTTTTTTTTCAAAAAATAAAAATTCTTTTTTTAATTTTCAAAAATTTTCAAAAAAAAAAAATGAAAAAATATTTCTGTTTCTGATCACATAAGCAGTGATTCAATAATAATAAAAAAAGTAGGAAAACTGTTTTGATACTTTATAAGAAGATTTCAATAATAAAAATTTTAGTATTAATAATTAATTTTAATAATTCATATTTTATTTCTAATTAAAGTAATATAATCAATAATTTTTTTTAAAAAAAAAATTTAAAAAGCTAATTGTTTAATTTCATGAAAATAATGCCTGTTGCAAAGGATAAGTTTAAAATTTAACGCTCAGTGTCTATGACAATTGCGCTTTAACACTTATCAGAATAAAAAAAAAACAGTGCTATTTATAATGAAAAAATTTACGAGAAAATATCAGAATTAAAAACTAAATCAGAAAAATTTTTTTAGATTAAAAATTTATTTAAAAAATTTTTTTGTTTCTTTTTAAGTATTAGTCGAAATATACAAACTATTATGTTTATAAAATGTAAACATAAATGTTTAAATTAGAAAACAAAAAGTGAGATAGCCTTACAGATATAAAATAGAAAGTAATAAGATTAGTAAATTAAAAAATTTTAATCAAAAATTCATTTCCTCTTCTTGCTGCTTCATTTTCCCAAATTTTTTTACCTACCCGAGAAAACCTGTTAAGGAATTGTTGTAACAAAGGTAACCGGCTTGAAGGTAACAGATGAAAATTTTAACATTTTTGTTCATTTCAACAATTTATATACATTTTTTCATTTCAAACCTTTTCTTAAGCTAAAACTTTAACCAAATACCAGTTTTTCATGCATTTTCGCTTTTCATTTTCATTAGCAAAATTAATTTTTGTAAATTTACTTAAATAATTATTAATTAATAATTAATTAATTAATATTAATTAATAAATATTTAAGTAAATTTACAAAAATTATTAATTAATAATAATAGCTTTTTCATTTGATAATGGAATAAAATTATTTTTTTCTTATTAATTAAGTTTTTTTTTTTTGTCAATTTGCATAAAAATGATTTTTGAAAAGGGAAAAAAAATTATTCATTTTCTAATTTAATATATTTTATAATTTTTTTTTTTAAATTTAAATTTGAAACTAAATATTTTCATTTATGACAATTTTTTTTCCACATCTTACTAAAAACTTTTTTATTTTTTCTGAATTTCTTAAGTAATAAATTATTTGAATTGTAAATTCGAATTACAAATGTGAAACTTGATAAAAGATTGGTATCCATATAAACTCTTAAATTTAAATTTTAACCATCATTAACAATTTTTTTTTTTTTGTTTGTAAATTTTCTGATAGTATATTAAAATTTCCAGATTAATTTTTTTAATACTTTTTTAAAAGTATTTTTTTGCTAAAAGAAATAATTAAATAAATGAATTTAGCAAATACTAATTAACTTTCAATTTAGGTTTATCTAATCTTCTAATCAATTATTTTATGCATAATTTTTAATTGTAATTTTAAATCAGATATTAATTAATATGTAAAAAATCTTTCTCAAATTTGAATTTAAAATTTGCACTTGCAATTTGCTATCTTCAAAATTTATCAATTAAATAGAATTATAATTTTTTTTTTGTCTATTTCTCTTCATCATTTTCTCTTTTTTAATTTTTTTTGATAAATCAAAAAAGAAAAAAACTTAAACAAATTGATTAAAATAATTTTTAGCAATTTCAATTATTGTAAAAAAAATAAAAAAAACAAACGAAACAAATATTTCTAACATATCAGAAATTAAAATTAGAATAGCTTAACTTAATTTTAATGTAGTTCATTTCATTTTCTGTTTTCTATCTTTCAAATGCAATTAGCACTTCTTAAGGTATAATAATTAACATATGCAAATTAATTATGCTGCTTAATAGCAAATTCAAAAACAATTTCTCTGTTCAATAACTGAATATTTTAATAGTAATTAAATTTAAGATATTTTAATAGTAATTAAATTTAAAGTTAACATTTTAAGAAATTTGATGCAATCTGAAAAGATTGAAATGATAAATCAATGATAGCATATTATGTTTTCATAAATATTCTCGTAAAAGAAATAAATTAAAATATTAAAGTTAAACTTGTCACTGTCACCAATTATAATTTTTGACGTAATTCATTTTTTAATAATTGCAAAATTTCAATTTTGAAAATTTGAAATTTATTTTCCAATTTTAAATTTCTGATCGATAAATATTAAATATATTTAATCTAATAACCTTAATAATATTCATAATTATTCCATAAATTTTGTTTGATTCAAAAGTTACAAAAAAACAAAAAAACTTGTTTAATTTATTTTAAAATTATGCTAATAGTATGGAATAAATTATTGCTTAAATAAAAAAATTTTGTGAATATTTTTGTTTATTATTTACTTTAACTTTTGAAATTAATTTCAAATTAAATGAATTTATAAATTGTTTACATTTAATCAAACATTGCTATCATTAATTATCGTACACATTAGCAGGTACTAATACAAATGCGCAAAGGTAAATTAATTAAATAATTGCTGTAAATTTAAAAAAAAAAAAAAAAAAAAACAAACGAAGTTTTTTTTTTTTTTTTTTTTTAAATTTGATTCTTTTATAAAATTTGTTGAACTAAAAAACTATTAAAAGAAAAATGTTAGTTTGATTTATAACAAAAAAAAAATAAATGCAAGTAAGCAAGGTCATCTTAATGAAGTTGAATGACTTTTTTTTTAGTTGACCTCCTTTAATTTCATACCTTTCATAGACAAATTATCGTTTTTTTTTTTTTAATTTTAAATTTTAATTTTATTATTTAATTTGATTTTGTTTTATCATTCTAATTTATTAATTTTTTTTTTCTTTTGAAAACATGGAAAAAAACACATATATGTTTTAATAAGACTAAAATTTAAAATAGCTTTTTTTTTTTTAAAGAAATTTTAAACACATTAAAATTTAAAATTAAAATTAATGCATTGTTATTAGTAAAATAAAAATTAGTTTTTTTTTTTTTTTCGCAAAAAAATTTTGCATTATTAAAAATTTATCATTGTTCAATTATTTTTTGTCTTTAAAATTTATCATTCATTTTTTTTTTTTTTTATTTTTATTTTTTTTTCTGAATAGAAAATTTTAAATTTAACTTAACTTTTTTTTTATTTTCTGAATAGAAAATTTTAAATTTGAAATTAACTTTTTGTTTTCGTTTTTTTTTTTTCATTTGTGTGAGAGAAAGTTTCATTGAATTAAATTTCTTTGCAATATGTTTTTTTTTTTTTTGCTTTTTTACCGGAAAAAAAATAAACTTTTAATAAACTTTTTATTTTAAATTACACTTTTTAATTTTAATTTTGTTAGGTTTTAAAATATTTTGAAAGTTTTAAAATGTAAAAAAAAATTTTTTGATTTTTTGGCAATTTTTTTATCTTTTTTTAATTAAGGAAACGAAACATTGATTTTAACAGATTGAACAAATTTTAATAAAATCCAATTTTTAAATGAATATGAAAACACAAATAGATAAACATAATTATATTAAATTTTTGTTTTTTTTTTTTAGAAGAAATGAAATTATTTTGCTGCATTTCAACAATTTTATTTTTTGTAACATTTGGTCAAGAACCAACATTTATGCAAAATTGTGATGAAGCACCAACACCGGAAGCAAGGCATGTTTGTTTAACGGTATGATTTTTTTAAGTTATTTATTAATCTATTTTTTTTTAAAGTTAATTTTTATAAGTTTATTTATTTAAATTATTTTTAACAACCAAATATTTATGTTTATTTCATTTAACAACCAAATATTTATGTTTATTTTATTTAAATTATTTATAACAACCAAATATTTATGTTTATTTCATTTAACAACCAAATATTCATGTTTATTTCATTTAACAACCAAATATTTATGTTTATTTTATTTAAATTATTTACAACAACCAAATATTTATATGTTTATTTTATTTAAAATATTTATAACAACCAAATATTTATGTTTATTTCATTTAAATTATTTATAATAACCAAAAAAATGTTTGTTATTATTTTCCTTTTTTTTTTGTCTTTTCGATTTTGAAATTTTACAAACTTTTTTTTTTGCATTGTAAACAATTTTGAAGAATTTTTCTTTTTCTTTTTTTTTTTTTTTGAACATAAAATAAAAAAAAAAATTGAAATAACTTAAAAATTAGAATTTTGTTGAAATTTTAATCCATTTTGTTTTCTAAATGTGCAAAAAATTAAACCTATGATATTGTTGTTTAATTTTAGTTACAGCAAATGGCTCGTAATTCAAGGCGTGAAATGACAACAAATCAAATAACTCTACCATCACCGCCCGCATTTCTTCAACCAGCGCCACTGGATCCATATGCACGAGGTCAAGTGGCTAGTCATCCTTATGATTGTATGACGATCACCTGCTTATGTCCATTTTTTCAGGCTAGTCTAATTATTTATTTCAGGCTAGTCTAATTAATTATTTCAGGCTAGTCTAATTATTTATTTCAGGCTTGTATAGTTATCTATTTCAGGCTAGTCTAATTATTTATTTCAACCTAGTCTAATTAATTAGTTCAGGTTAGCCCAATTAATTATTTCAGGCTAGTCTAATTATTTATTTCAAACTAGTCTAATTATTTATTTCAAGCTAGTCTAATTAATCATTTCAGCCTAGTCTAGTTAACTATTTCAGTCTAGTCCAATTAACCATTTCAGGCTATTCTAATTAGCTATTTCAGGCTAGCCTAATTAATTATTTCCTGGTCTAACTAACTATTTCAGGCTAATTTAACTACTTATTGCAATTGATTACATAGTCACTCAATTTTTGCTAATTTATTTACATTATGTTGAATTTTTTCAAAAAAAAAAAATGCTTACATTAAGATATTTACGTGTAAAAAATTGTTTTTTTACTTCTTTTTTTTTTTCATTTATTTTAAATTTCAAATTTTCTCTGTTTGAACTTTAAAGTTAATTTTATGTTTCATTTTTTTTTTTTTTTTGAAATTGAAATTTAATAATTGAAAAAAATGAGATGAAATAAATATTTTAAGGGTTCAATAGGACCTCGAAATCAATGTATATTACCGGATGGTCAACTTTTAACAATGGCATACCGTAAGGAATATCGAATGCTTACCGAAGATGAACGTTTGAGATTTTTTAATGCGATGGCAATATTGAAACAAAGTGGCGAATATGACCGTATGAGTTATGAGCATCAGTTGGTCAGTTCTCAATTAAAAATTTTGAAATTTAAATTTAAAATTTTTAAATTTAAATTTTGATAAAATTGAAAAACTATTTTGATTCTTATTATATTATTGTTTTGTTAAAACAAATTAAATATAATGAAATTGTTGATAATTTTAATATAATTTAAAATTTTAATTTCCAATTGACTAGTAATACGATTTTCAAAAATTAGTTTTAGATTACTAGATGATTGTAAATATTGCAGGTAGGTCAGGGAAGTGGTGCACATTCAGGACCCGGTTTTTTACCATGGCATCGTGAATTTTTAAAACGGTATAATTTTAATTAAAATTATGAATGAAAATAATGAATGGATTTTTTTAAAATACATTAAAACTTAAATGCAGAATTTCAGATTTGAAATTGCACTCCGTCTAATTGATCCAAAAGTATCATTGCCATATTGGGATTCCGTTATAGATCAATATTTGCCGGATCCGAGAGATTCAGTTTTCTTTAGTCCTTATTTCATAGGTGAAACAGACGGATATGGTAACGTAGTGACCGGACCGTTTGCTTATTGGAGTACAATCGATGGTAGAACAGCTATTCTCCGGTAGAAATAGCAATGTTTTCTTAAGCAATTAATTAAATTTAATTTCCATTTATTAATTTTATTTTTAATTTCCTTAAGAATTTGCAAGAATTTCGTTTTTTGTTTATTGTGCATTTATTAATTTCAAATTTGAAAATCTAAAATTAGTTTTGTTTTTTAAATTTTAAATTACAAAAATTTGAAAATTTTAGAGCACTTGGTGAAAAGGGAAAATTATTTACGGAATATGATATTATTGATATCATATCACAAGTATCAGTTGAACAAGTTATGGCTTACACTGCACCATTAAATGGTATGCTTAAAGCTTTTCAAATAGATCAATCATACATTTATTTTGATTAAATTAGAATTTAAAATAAATCAGTAATGAAAAATAATTAAATTTATTACTTAAATAATTCAATTGTTAGATTGAGTCTCTATAATTTAATCAAAAAAAAAAAAGTAAAATTATTTAGTAAAAAAAAAAAATTTTTTCTGACTCTTTAATTTGCTATAATTTCATCAATAATTAATTCAATTAAATGAATTAATTATTCAATAAAATATATTATTGAATTTTTTTTTTTTAGCTGAATGATTTAAAAATGAAAATTTTTACTAAAAATCATTTTATATCATTAATTTTTTTTTTTAAAGTATTTTAGTTAAAATTTTTTGTAGCAATTAGTTATTGAATTTTTTCTTTTTCTTTAGTTTTTTTTTTTTCAAATTTCATTTATTTTATAAAAATTTTAAATGTAAAATTAATTTTATTTCCATTTTAGATTGTCCATATCCACCAGCATTTTCTGCTATTGAATATACACATTCATTTGTTCATCTTTGGATTGGTGGACATATGGAACCACCTGAGCAATCCTCAAATGACCCCGTCTTTTATGGCCTTCATGCATTTGTTGACCTTATCTGGGAGTTATGGCGACAAAGTCAACAAACACGTTGGGCACGAGAAAATGTACATTCGAATAAATTAAATATCAATTATCAATTTATCACAAATATCAATAATACACAATATCAACTCTCATTCTAATTGATAACAAAAAAATTTAAAAGAATTTAAAATTGAATAAAATTAAACTTTTTTTTTTTTTTACTAAAATTCTGAGAAATAATTTGAATGAAAAGCATTAAATGTATGAAATTGAAGAAAGAGAGAAAAAAAAACTATATGTATAAAAAAAAGGGAAATTTTAAAAATTTTTCAAAACTAATTTAATTTATTGAAATTTTTAAATTTAGCAATATTCGCAAGATATTGAACAATGTGCCGATCCACAGCACTTCAGTTATGCTATCATGCGACCATTTAATTTGATTAATCGTGATGGTTAGATTAATATTTTCAATTGTCTTTTTTTTTTTTTTTTGCAAAATATTTAATTTTTTTGAAAGATTAAAGTTTGTTATTTAATAATGCTAACATTAATAAATAATAATAATAATATTAACTATTATTATTTGTTAGAAAAAATAGCTAAAATAAATTACTTTATTCACTCGTTTATTTCATTTCTAAGTTTAAAATTTAATAAGTATGATTTTAAAATTTTTAATCTGAAAAATAAATTAGACATTAAATGATGTAACATTAATTTACGGAGTTTTTTCTTTTTTTTTAAATCTTTAATTTTGTTTGAATAATTTTTTTTTCATTTTTATTAAATTTAATTTTTAGCTCTTTTTTGGTTTATCTCTTAGAAATAATATTGTAGTAATTTCTGAAAAGTTACACCTTGTTTAAGTGATTTCCGGAAAAAAAAAAAGGACAATTCAAATGCTTTAAATGATTTCCGGATAAAATTGATTTAAGTGCTTTTCTGGAAAAAAATTAAATGATGATAATTGTTTTATTAATATGTTGATTAATAGTTTATATTCTCAGATTTTTAAAACCCTCTTTTTTTATCTATTATTTTTATTTATTATTTAATTACTAATCTAAAAAAAAAAAAATTTTGAATCCAAAATTACTGACTGATAAATTTGTGTAAAAATATTGCTACAAATAGAATTTAATAATTTTATATATAAAATTTAATAATATAAAATTTAATAATAGAAATAACTATTCATAACAAAATATGAGTGATACAAGAATTGATAATACTAGTGATAATAATTTAACTGATAACAATAATATCAATAATGAAATTAAGTTTTTTTTTTTTCAGGTTTATCAAATTTGTACACCGAACAAATGTACCGCTATGCACCACGACCAGGTTGCAGTTTTGAAATACCAACCTGTGGCTCACCTTATCTCTTCTGTGATGCGCGAATTTCACCGCATTGTGTTTCTAAAATTAAATTTGGCGGTGTTTGTACCGGTTTCGAAGGACTTGACGCATGCTTCAATGGTATTTGTGTTGCTGGAAGATGTATATCAGGAATTATGCCAGCTGTAATATTTTTAAAATTAAAATTAATTTCAATCAATTAATTCTGTTTAGAAAGTAAAAAGTAAAAAAAAAAAAAATGTAAAAATTTTTAATATTTAAAAATTGATAATAACTTTTCAAATTATAAAATATTACTTTCTGCATTTTAAATAATTTTCTCATTTAGTTCATTCACTAACATTTATGCATTTTATTCATTTATAATTTATTTGATATATTTATATAAATGCAAATATTTTATCACATATATTTATTGCTTATAATTTAATAATAAATAAGTAAAATTTTTTATTAATTAAAATAGCTTAGATTTAATTTGAATTGAGAAAAATTATTGTTACTCTAATAATGCTAAAAATTATTTAATTAATTAATTTCTTTCCTTTCTTTATATTAAATAAATTTTTGCCCAACCAAAAAAAAAGAAAAAAAAAAAATGACAAACAACCAGGAAAATGAATTTTATATTTTATAGCCATTTGTACCACAAACTGAATTACCCTCAACACTTCGTGGTGAAATTACCCGACAATATGCTTCCCGGCAATTTACTGATTGCTTCAATCGAATGCCATGCTGTGAACAATGGGCTAAAGATGGTGACTGTCACACAAATAAGTCACCGATGGTAAAATTTTGCGCCGCAGCATGTGGCAAATGTCGCCCTTCATTTAACGTTTCAGATGGTATTGAATTTTTAAAACTTTTTTAAAGTTTTTTTTTTTTTGGCAGAAATTTTTCAAAAAAGTTTTCCTTTTTTTTTTTTAGAAAAACAAAAAGATAAATAAAACTTTTTTTTTTGGATGCAAAAAAAAATTTAATCAAATTTATTCCAAAAACATAAACTAATAAACAGATTAGCGTTAATATTTGAGTGATAACAAATGATAAGGATTGATTAGGGAAATTTTTGTGTGTTTCAAGAATGTGCTGATCGACATGTATCATGTAAGCAATGGAAAAGTGAAAATCAATGCTTTGGAAATTCCGGAGATTTTATGGCTGAAAATTGTCGCACATCATGTGAACTATGTGAAAAGCCGAAAAATGCAGATTGTCAAAAGCGAAAAATTGTAAGTTTTGAAATATTTTAAAATTGTTTTTTTAAATTAAAAATATTTTTTCGCGGTGCTAATTAAAATTTAACATATATAAGTAAGTGATTTTTTTGAGATAAAGGAAAAAAAAAAATTATTTCTCGATGATATTTAACTGAAATAAATTTTTAATTTAAATGTTAATGAAACATTCTTAAATGCACTCACTTCATCATATCTATTACTTACATTTCATTTTGATAGAAGTAAGTGTTAAATTTCTGGAAATTAAAAAAAAATATTTTTTAAATTTTAATTTTTATTTTTTTAATCAAAAAAAATAATTCATTTTCTTTTGATATTTTCACGGGAACTATTCATAATTATCAGTTATTACAATGAAAACAAAAATGTTACCAAATTGATAAATCGAAAAAGATTATTTATGATTAAAATATAATATTTAAATTTGTATTTAAATAACTTTTAAAATTTAATTAGAAATTTTACGAAATATTAACAATTAGCAAGGCGAAATTACAATTAGATTTGAAGGAAGATAAAAATTAAAATATACCTTTTAAATTTGTATTTAAATAACTTTTAAATTTTTAAATTTAAATTAGCTTTTAAAATATAATTTCATTTGTTAAAACAGTTTGTTTTTACAATTTAAAATAATAAAAGTGTATTTTTAGCATTTGAAAAAATTTATGCAGTCAAAATTGCAAACATCAAACAAAACTGATAATGTCAAAGCATCAAATGAAACAAATCATGGTGACAAGAATACTGTCGAATAATTTTTTACAAATTTACAGCAAAATTAGATTAACATTATCAGCGATTAATATTTTTTCTTTTCAATTCAAAATGTAATTTATAAATAGTTTATTTAAAATTTTAAAATATATTTCATTAAGAAATGAAAAAAAAATTAAATAATAAAAATAGTTCATCGCATGTTTTTTTTTTATTTTTCCTAATTTAAGTAAAAGTTATATTTGCTCAATAAATCATTTAGTATAACATATTTGTTTATCAAAAATTAATAATTTTTAATCAGATCGTATAAAACTTTTTTAAATTATATTTAACAAATTATCATCTTGCATATATATAATTAGGATGCAAATATGGCATTGTTTGTTTGTTTGTTTGTTTATTTATTTATTTGTTTGTTTGTGTAATTTTTTAAATGTCATTTTTGTTTGTTTCTTTTATTAAAATATTATTTAATTCTTTTCATTACTATGTCAGAATTGAATTGTTCAGGGTTAGATTTGTTTTAGTCAAAATTGCTACACTACTGTAAATCAGTTGTTCTGTAATATTGCATATTGTTTTTTTTTTAAATGAAATTGTACTTTTAACTTTATACACTAACCAAATTTTAATACTATATATTGTAATTAATTAAATTATCGTTATTTGTGTAATTTCATTTCCAATTAATTTTAAGTGCCAAATAAGCATTGAAATCATTGATGGAAATCTTTCATACATTCTATTTTATGCTAATTTCAATTTTTTTTTTTTTTCAATTATTATTATATTCATTTAACAAACAAAAGAAAAAAACTTTTTTTCAAATGATTTTACATTTCATAAAATGTGAAATCATTTTTAAGTGAAAAATTTGATTGAAATTAATAAAAACAAGAATAGGCTTAAGCTTAGACTATTTAATAAAAATAAATATTTAAAAAAAAAAATAATAAAAAATTTATGTTTAATGCAAATTTTTTTTTAATGCATTAATTTCTATTTGTTCAAAAAATAAAATTAATAAATTCGCTTCTTTTTTTTTTTAAATCTAATAATCGTTTTTGTTTTTTTTTTCTGAATTTTTTTTTTTTTTTTTTTTGTTTAATTAATAATTACTTGTATCTCTGATGTTAAACTTACTGCCTCTAATTTCATATGCCATAAGTAATGATACAAAAATTTTAAAACTGTTTTGTTTTTTTTTTTCAACTTTTTCTTGATTTTACTATGACAATGAAACTGTCATTGAATTTTTGAAATATACAAAAATAAATCATCAATTCTACACTGTCATTAACATATTTCAATATTTTTTGTTTGATTTAATGTTAAAAACACACACACACACACAAAAAAAAAGAATTTATTATTTTTCATTTTCACAAAAAAGAAAAAAAACGAATAGAATTTAAGAATAACAAAAATAAACATTTCAAATTAATTATAGCAAATAAAATGCAGTTCAAAGTTACTTGAACTCATCTGATCTGATCATCAAATTGATCAATATCATTAATCATTGCTGTTTATCAAACTTTTCAGATCAACTGACACATGTAAGAATGGTAATGGATTGAAACCAGACTGGAAATTAAATTAAATATTTTAAAATTTTATTTTCAAAAAAAAAAAAATGAGATGACAATTGATATATAAATTTGTTAGCTTTTCTAACATTTGCAGCTTATCAATAAATCACATAAATTTTTTTCAAAATTCTAACTTTTACTTAATAAAACTTAATTACTTTAAACAATTTTTTACTTTACCTCTTTCATTTAATAAAAAAAAAAAAAAGATCAAATAAAAATATTTCACTTTTCAGCAATTATATTAATATAATTTTTTTTAATTTTTCAATCTCTTTTTACTTCATTTTTTAGCGCATTTTATATTTGCTCAAACTTTTAAGTTTCTTTTGTTTTTTGTTTTTCATTTTTTAATTTCAACATTTAAAAGAGTAATTAAATTTTTGATAAAATTATTTTTAAAGAAAACCTGGTCAAAAAGTATATCGGCGCAAAAATCTCCTTTACAGCAACACGTAAGTTGTTGAAGGATAGGAAATTTTCGATAGAATAAATTATTTCTTAGACATACTGGTCGTCCATCTTTATATTTCTTGCAATGTTGTGATAAACGTAATGGATTATCAACTGAAAAAAAAAAATTTTATTTCATTTAATTAATCAAATAATCATTAAAACAAAAACAAAAACAAATAATTAATTTAAAATTTTTTGTACATTTTACTAATTCACTTTTTTTTTTTTTTCTTTTAGATTAATAATTAAAATTAGCATATATTATCGTTTGTTTTGTCTTTTTTTTTGTTTTGTTTATTTGTTCAATTTGAATAATTAAGATCAAAAATTATTGTATTACTTAAGTTTCACTCATTTTCATGTGATAATTTAATGATTACCAGTTATATTATTTATTATTTTACTCAATTCTAAATAAATAATTTATCAAATCAAAAATTAAACAATTCAATTTAAATAATCTCTTTGCCAATTTTGATTCATTTCCTTTATTGAATAAAATTTTAAGAAATAATAAAATTAATTTCAAAAAAAAAAAAAAAAAATTGCGAGCAGATGATTACCTCTAAAATCAAATAAATAATTCGCATATTTTTTATTATTTCCAAGCCATTTTTGTGGTGCAACAAATTTTCCTGTCTGAAAAAAAAAAAAAAAAAAGAAATTAAAAACAAATATTTGAATAAATGAAAAATTATTTTCTACGATAAAATGTTTACATTTGAGTATTCATTGAAATCAAAACAAAAATTAAAACTTAAATTTGTGAGAATATAATTTAAAAAAAAAAGATTGTCAATAAATTATATTAATAATAATTTAAAGAATATAAAAATGACAAACACTATCGTCCATACAACCCAAAATGAGATGACTATTTGGCAGTGCCATTAAAACACACGAACTATTGTTATGATTGCATGGATGGGTATTTAAATCCATTAAATCTTCACAAGTTAAATTTTCTATTATCTAAAATAATTTATAGAAAATTGAAATGTTCAAATTTGAAATGAATTTAATTATTTTAATTCTTTGTGTTCTGTTTATTACTGTTATTAGTTTTATGTTATTTAATTATTGTTTCTACTTTTTCATCGTTTTTTTTTTTTTTTTTGTTAAATTTAATTATTAATTTTTTTAAATTTAATTATTAATTTTAGTTCTTTTCTTTTAATTTTTGATTCTACTTTTTTTGTCGTTTTTTAAGTATTTCTTTTTATGACTTTTATGGAATAAACTTTTATATGCTACTTTTGCCTAATTCATTTTTAAACAAGTTTTTTTTTTTTTAGAATTTTGGTTGTATTCAATGGTTGTTGATAATGAAAATTCTAATAGTGAAATGAAATATTTTAATTTAAAATTAATTAAATTAAAAAGAAATTTCATATATTCTGCATATTTTAATTTAAAATTAATTAAATTAAGAAGAAATTTCATATATTCTGCATATTTTAATTTAAAATTAATTAAATTAAAAAATTAAAAAGAAATTTCACATATTCTGCATATTTTAATATAAAATTAATTAAATTAAAAATAAAAAAGAAAAATTCAAACCTTACTTCGCCAATTTCCATATTCATGAGCCATAATTTTAATGAGTGGACAAAGAAAACCTGGAAATGGTACTCCATCATGATCATAACAAGCAATATTTATCAAATTTGCTGCATTTTTTTCCTCAATTTCATTTCCAGGAACAATTACCTTAAAAAAAATTTAATTTTTAATTTGAATTTAATCAAATTTTTTTTATGAACTTTAAGATTAAAAATGAAACAACAATTTTTAATCCTTAAAATTATATTTATCTTTCTTTAAAATTAGATTTATCTTTAGTTTGGAATCAAATTTACTGTTCAGATTAAATTTTAAAATTGAATTTGAATAAATTACATTTATTTACCATTAGTAAACATTTTTAATTTATAATTAAAAAACAATATCTTCCTATAAACATCATATTGAAAAATGATTTTCCTTGAAATAATAAAAGAAATATAGGGTAATACATTGTAAAATAGATTTATGAAATTAAAAAAAGAAAAAAAAAATGAAGGATTGAAAATTCTGAGAAAGAAAGTGAGAAATAAGTAAAAATTTTAATATTTGAAAATTTGACAAAAAAATTTCGCATTAAGCAAAAAAGCATAAATTTATTAATAAAATATTATTTTGCTCTATTAGTAATAAACAACATTTATCATAAAATATCACAAATTTAATCTTTATTAACAAAAATTTATTAAAATATTAGTCAGAAAATTTAAGCAAGAACTTAATTACTAGATATTAATTGCTAGATACTTAATTACCAGATATCAAATATCAAAATTTATTAGTTCCACTTAGTTGTACAATTAACTACCAATATTTTTGTTAAACAATTATCATAAAAAAAAAAATAAATAAACTTGTAATCTTTTCAGTCTGGTAACTTTTGACATTTTCAAAAAATTACTCTTCAGAAATTTGTTAAAATTAAATTTTAACCTCATCAAAATTTGATTCATCATCAATATATGTATTCAATATCTGTCTATCACTTATAATTTTCAATAGTTTCTGAAAACAAAAAAAAAAAAAAAAAAAAATTTTGACATTATTTTGTACTTTAAAATTAAAATTTCTTTTTAAATTTTTAAAATTTAAATTTAAATTTAAAAAAAAAGAAAAGAAAAGAAGGAAGGAAGGAAAGAAAGAATTATTATTACTGGAAATTTATAAAAGCCATATTTCATACGTCGAAATGCAAGTATATTTCGCATTAGCAAATTTGTTTCATTTATATTACTCTATAAAAAGTTCTTTTTTTTTTTTTAATTAAAATTGAAAAAAATGAATTAATGAAATTTTAAAAATTTAAGTACAAATTTAAAGAAATATCAGTTTTAGCAAATTAAATAAAATAAGGTGATAGTAATTTAAGATTAAGTTGAAAAATTGATGTCTAAATTTTAATTTTAAATGAAATTAGAAAAAAATTTTTTTAAATAATTCCTCTAATATTACATTTCTTATTATAGCTCCAGATATATTTAAATGTTAATTTTTAATTTTTTTTTTTTTTTGAAAAATATTTGAAAATTTTGAAAGAAAAAATTAAAAAAAAAAAAAATTGTTCAACCAATAATTCTTCTGCTATAACATCAATTGAACAAACAAACAGCAATACAAATAAACCGCACGAAAACATTCAAATTATATAAAGTGATAATAATTTAATAAAATTTTAATTATAAATATAAAATGAAAAAAAAAAATTTAATTTTTGGGTAACTTTTTTATAACAAAAATTTTTAAATTATAGAAGTAAATTTTGTGGAATAATTTTTTTTTTTTTTTTGCTTTTAATGTAGTAATTATGTGTGAAACGAATGCAAATTATTATAAATTTTATTATCACACAGAAAAAATATATTAATCAATTTGTTTTTTTTTTTAAATTTTCATAAAACAAACATTTATTTATACTTCTATTCAGCATCAGATTTAGTTTCCAGAAATACTTGAATACATAAAATAAGAATTACAATAATTAATGCAATAATAATTGTACCCTTAGCTTCCATATAAAATCCTGTTGAACGTTCCGAAGTACTACTGGTCGATGATAGTTGACGCTTATTTACACTATAAAATTTAAATTTATTCAAAATAAAAAAACATTAATTAATTAATTAATATTAATAATTAATAATATTATCAATTTGTTAGCTACAATCATTAATTATTTTTCTGCAACCAGCTTTTTAAAATTATTGTTATTGTTATTATTATTATTATTATTATTATTATTATTATTATTACTATTATTATTATGAGAATAATGCTAAATAAACAGTATGATAATCTGATAAAATACATTTTAATATTTGCTTAATATTTTTGAATGAATTCTAATCAGCGATACAATTTGTAATAATTTAATTTTCTATTTTGTTTGATTTTTTTTTTTTGAAATTTTAAAGTTTTCATTTTAATTTAAACAAATGATTGCTAATGATAAACATTTAATCGACGACGAAAGCAAATATTTGAAATAATTACAGGTAAATTTACGTCATAAGATTTTTTGATGATATTTGAGATGTATTTGATAAATGTTTTAATCCTGTAATTGGAGCAATTATTCTCGATTCTACACCTGAACTTCGAGGTACCACTGAATCAAGAGAACTTTTAAAGGTAATATGTTCTTCAGGTGGTTTCGTACTATTACACATTGCTGATGATGATATGCGACCTGAATTAAAAAAAAAAAAAAAAAAAAAAAACACTTTAACTTTTGTATTATTTGTTAATTTTTTTAAATCAAATATATTTCATCTCTAAAATTCATTTCAAATAGATTATCATTTAGCAGTAGTATTTCTTACTGAAATATATTTTATAAAAATTGTAGTATGGTATAAGGTTAATTAATTTATGTACGATTATTAAGTAACAAATTGAACTCGAAATAATATTTTTTTTTTCATGCATTAAATAAATTTAATTTATGACGCAATCATCACACTAATTTATTAATTTTTAAATTACTATACAATAAAATTGTTGTACCATTTTTTTGTTTTTATTTTTTTTGGTTGATTTAAATTATTAAATGAAATTTTTGAAATAATTTAAAAGCTATTATCGTACATTTAATTCTTGTAACTGTATGCTCGTTTATATTTGGATCATCAGAACCTTCAAATTCTGTAATCATTAACAATGAAGTTGATTTCATATCTTTCCAATTGTTTATTTCAGGTGCTCGTCGCCATGTTAGTAAACAACAATTAAATCCGTGTGCTGGTATTGTACCAGAAGCATGTGGTTCAGCCTAAAATAAACTAAAATTTGTAGAAATTTAATTACTGAATGTAGTAACATGCAAATAGAATTAAAATTTGAAAGCAAAGAATAAAAAAAAAATAAAAAATTACTGTAATTAATGCTTTTGTTTCACATTTAAATTTGTATATAATTGGTCGATCATTTACATTATACAAAATAAGTTTTACACGAGCTGCATTAGGTATATCAATAACAGGCAAAAATTTTGTCGAGATTACTCTGAAAGAAAAAAAAAAAAACTTTAAATTAATCACTAAAAGAGATAAAAAAAAAAAAAAAAAAAAAGAAAAACAAACAAACAAAGGAGAAACTATTTTTGAGAGATATTAAAGTGAAAATTTAGAAGTGAAATAATTTGAATGAAAATTGAAAATAGATCAATCAATTTTTATTTCTTTCAACTTTTACTCTTTACTTTTATTGTTGATCAAAAGAAGTAAGCGCAAGAAATAAAAAAAATAAAAGTGAAACTTTTGAAAATTCAAATTTTTGCTTAATTTGAAAATCCTTATGGAAACATTAACCTATCATATAGTAATGGTCGTTCATCATCTTTTAATCGCATTCTTTGTTTGTTTTTCAAAATCACTCAGGAAAAAAGGCTAAAATTTAATGAAATTTTTACCATTACTTACTGTAATTTGTTGTGACAAAAAAATGAATTTACTATTTCAGGAAAATTTCCGGACGAATCCTACACGGTTATGCACTGAATAAATTTGCGCAATAAATTTAATAATTTTTTTTTTAGTAAAGTTTTAGATGAAAGCGAACAATTTCAAATGAAATCGAAATAAAAATTTATAAATTGAAAGATTAAAAACAAATACCGTCTGCGATTAAATAACGATAAACAATAATCGTAATTATACAAAAAAAAAAAATTTATTTTTATAAGTCAGACAAAAAAAAAATTTTTTTTATTCGCAGTATGTAAATTTAAGAGTTTTTTATATTTTACAAAAATTTAAGAAAGATTTAATTTTTGCATTGCAAAAAAACCGTGACGACACCTAAATCTATAATAACTTTCTAATGGATTTGTCATTTAACAAAATTTGATTGCTTTACACAATTTATTTTTCCTGCCAGTTTATCTAAATACTAAAAAATTTTTCAATTAGAAAAATGGATTTTTGTTAAAAGTTGATAAGAAATAAAAATATATGTTTATCCTTTCAGTGATAAGAGTTGATAAGTGAACAGAAATATATGTTTACCTTTACTTTAAAAGTTGATAAGGTACTTCCATGTATTCAAGTGATAGGAGTTGATAAGTGGATAAAAATGTATGTTTATCTTTTCATTGATAAGAGTTGATAAGTCAACAGAAATATATGTTTACCTTTACTTTAAAAGTTGATAAGGTACTTCCATGTATTCAAGTGATAGGAGTTGATAAGTGGATGAAAATGTATGTTTATCTTTTCATTGATAAGAGTTGATAAGGAATAAAAATATTTAAAATTTATCTTTTTAGTGATTTTTCATATGTTTTACATTGTAATTATCCAAAAAAAGTTATTTTTGATTTGCTATTTGTCAAACTTTACCGTACAGTAATAATAACTTTGTTATACAGAAACAATATGCAAACGTTAAAAAATTTTCAAACCTCAGTTATTAGAAAATAATTTTCAGTATTTTCGATTATTTTAAGCTTTTCTATCTTCACGTACCAAAATACCAATTCATTTATTTCAGGTACTTTCATTATTCAAATTTTATGATCGTTAGAAAAATGAAATTTCGTTGTGGTAGAAAATACTTGATATACAAATGAGTTTTAGATTAAGACACAAAGGTATAGGATGTGAGTGAAGAATTTATATTAATTTTATGGTTTTGGCATGATCGAAATGGCTTCCCAATCAAAATAGGTTAACTTTTTTTTCTTTTTTATAAAAAGATTCGCTATCTTATGATCTTGTAGTAAGTTGTTTCATACAGTTACTGATAGTGAAATTACATAGAAATATCAAAATTTTTTTATCAAACATTACAGCAATATAATAAATAACTTATTATAACGAAATGCAAACGAGAATTAATGAGGAAGTAGAATTAGTTTTTTTTGGAAAATGATTAATTGTTTAGGTTTACATAATGTATAAACACACTTATCAAAATAAGAATGCTTCCTATTTTGATAAACATTCTATCGGATACAAAGATAGCTATAGGAATGTTAAGAAATATCTGATATGACTGATACTGACCTGCAATATATCAATCATAATGAGCAAATATGAATAGGAAAAGATGGGAATTTATTAAGATTCAAGATGAACAAAAGAAAAAGCATGAGAAACTAGCACAGATGAGGAATGGAAGATGAGAAATTAGTTAAATGATTAGTCGTAATACAAATTGAAAAAATAAAAAAATAATTTTATGTACTAATTTTTACATAAAATTATTTTATTATTATAAGTTATTTCGAGGTTTGCGATATCTGAAATTTGCAACACGAATATTTACAAAATCTTATACTATTAACGATCGGACTATTTAGCAAAAAAGTGGCTTTAGTAAAATTTTAAAAAAGCGATCATAATCAAATTCACTGGAATCAAAAAATGAGTGGTAACGATTGAATCTAAGTGAAATGAGCAAACCAGAACCGAAATTTAAAAAAAAAAAAATAAGTATTACGTGAGCAAACATGTGAAAAACGTCGACATTAGAAAAGATAAAATTCAACATTAAAAATAGAAAGCGATAAGATTAATGACAGATAACTAATGAAAATAATTGATATGAATTAGAACATACGGATCAATGAGAGTCAATGAGAAAATGATTTAGCAGTATTTGGCGGGAGTAGAAAAGGCAAGGTGTAAATGAGAATCAGTTGAAATAAAAATTGGAATGTTTTCTGATCTATTATTTTCGGATTTACACATCCGGAAGCAATAGATCAAACAAAATGTTCAATTGAAAACATGAGTATAAAAAGCACCATTTAAGTGAGAAATTTGCAAGAAATGCATCAAACACGTCACAAAAAAATATCAAAGAACACGTCTGATAAGGAAATCATTGTAACAAAGATAATAAAAAAAAAAAATGAGAAATGAAATATAGATTAAAAAATGCAAATATGTTTGGGCATTATATAATAATAAATAGTCTCCATCACTGAGTTCAAAAGAATATTTGATTTAAAACCTGAATACAGAGTAATTATTAGCAATAGCAGAGTATGTAACTGCAGTTAAAATACATGAAGGCAACATTTATAGAGAAATTAAAGCAATTCAAGAACTAAATAAGAATAAGTTTGCGATTATGAATTTTCAAGATTTCAATTGTGAAATATTCATAACTGTACTAAAGGTATTCTGGTATATATACTTTAATATCAAAGAAAACATACTGAAATTTTGAGTTTTCACATGAAAATACAGCTATCAGTCCAATTTTTAGTAGCATTGTTTGATTCCTTCCGGACAATTACACCATTATCGGATTCATTGATATAGCAACTATTACTGCTATTATGTAAGCCACTCTCAATATACTGTACAGTTAGTCCATTTTGTAAACTGCATTCCTCGTAAGTTATTTTTTGGAATAAATATGGACGAAGATCTATGTAAGAGTGAATACGCTGCATGAAATTCGAGTCCATACGTTGATTGCCTAACAAAAATGAAGAAACATTTGGACGAATGAATAAGCGAAGGCGATCCTGAAATAAGATAAAGTAATAATTAATTCTAGAATATTTACAAATTACTGCAATTCTCATTTGTATTACATTCACTGATAAACATTGTCACAGCGTCATTCATCAATTACTAAAGTGTAATCACATTGAATTTGAAGTTCAGTCATTTAAAATTTAATATCAAACTGTTTATCACTCTTTAATTATGCAGTGTATGAATTGTATATTCATTTATTCCATATAATGCTTGAAAAAGATTTTACAATATGCTTTCACCAGAAAAAGCTGGATAATTTATAAAAAAAAAAGGTACTCCACCTCAATCGCTTGATGATTAACCGTGACACAAAGAAATGAATACATGATACGATTAATGTGGAAATCATACATGAATGGCATATCATTATCAACTTTACCATCCAAATCAGCAATTCTTTTACCCAATAATGATGATTTTACTAATGGTTCTAATTCTTGCAACGCAGTATACAAAATATTTTGGTTTCCAGATATATCAAACGGAATACATAATGAAACGATCTGAAATAAAAGAAATCATATGCAAAAATCAACTAAGCGCATAATCAACAAATTATCAGGAGAAATATGAAGACAGGATGTCTTAATATGATCTAGGCATGAATCATACAAGCATTCTTGACAAATAATTCTTTAAAGAATTACCTCTAGCGGTATCCATTGATCATAGCCAAAAATGATAAATGTTTCCATAATTATTTTTTGACGTCTAGTTAACTGAAATAATACGCATTTGGCTAAGTTTGTCAAAATAACTCTTAGATATGACGCAGGAACACTTCACTCATCAAAAATGAAATGTCACAAACAAAACATTTGGCATGAATATATTTTGTATAAAAGTTATAACTGCCTTTGCACTAGATGGTTTTAGATATAGAAAAATGCTGTCATTAGTTTAATTTAATTGAAATATTCTTTTCAGGAACTTAGTCAACAGTTTTGGAAAGCTGGAGAAAGAAAGGTATAAAGAAGGACGTTACATTTTATGAACAAATTAGCAATACCAAATAAACTATTAAAGAAGTGATTGCAATTAAGTAAATATGGATTGAAATTTCTACATTTTAAAATCAGAATCTTCCAATAACTTAAGTTTTTGTTGGTGACATCAGAAATCCTTTATTGAATATTACTTTTTTTTTCTGCTCTGTAGTACAGAAAAATACGTATACTATTGAGCATCTTCTAAAAAATCTAAATGGAACGAGATAAAAAACATACTTCTTATTAAATTTTATTTTAACGACCAGAAATTAGCACTATAACTTGATAAGATTAAACACTAAAATACTCTAGAATTAAAATTAAAGAAGGATTTTCTGAACAAAAAAATCCAAATTCATAACTAATTAGACATTTGTTAAGCACTGAAGAAAACATGATAAAGAACTCACAGTTTTATAGGATTCCATAATGGCATCAACCATATTTTTGTATTTATAATAAGTAAAATTTGATATAGTTGTGACAGAGTAATAATCCAATAAGTAACGTAAATTATAGAAGCTGAAAACAAAAAACAATTTATTTCCTTCTGTAGCAAAAAAAAAAAAGTAATCAAAAATAAGATTTTTTGTGATTTAATCAAACAATCCAAAAATATACTCATTATTACTGTCGCATGCTTGTTGTCTCACTATACCAAGAAGTGCAGGTAGGCCCATTGTTTTTTTATGAATATGAAAAAGATGATCATGAAAAGAAGATGAAGTTATCGTAGTAGAAGAACGCATTTGCTGGAACAAAACCTCCGTTTCGGTGAAAGAAAAACCAGGTGGATCAACTGCAAAAAGTATGGGATTTGAAGAGGATACTTGGAATAGTTCCAAATTACGGCTTGTTGCAAGAATACGGCACTGAAATTGAGTTATTCAGAAAGATATTATCAAGATAATATAAAACAAATTTAATATTGTACAGTTGCGCAACATAAATACATAACATATCTTCTAAGCTATGTTCATCGTCGGGTGAATATATATTAGACAACTTATTTACGCCCAAAATTATGAGAAAAGATGAGGAAGGCTTTTATTGCAAAATAATTAAAAGCAAATGAAATTTGCAGGTTATTTGGTCAATTAATTTCTAAAAAGAGAAACTAACATTTAGCTGGTCGAACCAACGCACACTTTCTTGAAGATAAACATCATTCAGAACTACTAATGTATTTGGCTTTTCTCGCAAGGCAGTTTTGGCCTAAAATAAACAATTATGAATGTGTCATACCTTTTTAATATGAAAATGAAAAACAGCACCTTACAGTAACATCTCTACAACTTATCAAGACTCTGTGATGTATATTATATTGAAATTCATTGTTTATAATTATAATAAAAATGATAAACAGCAATATCCTAGTAGCGAAAATGATTCTAAAAAATTATTTCCCTAAAAACTCACCAGTGGTAAGAATTGTACAGGAGTTTCTTTTCCAGTTAAAACCAATGCATCAGTTGCTAAAAATAGGAAATTTGAAAAAACTTCAGGTAGCTGATTAATATTGGTACGACCATCCTCAACCCATATAACGTGTTCATAATATCTATAAAATCAAATAATTCAGAAAGCTGTAAATCGATTTCGATTTAGTCTGATTTGAAAAAAAAAAGTAACAAATGAAGCAAATAGGGGTGAAATAGGCAAATGATTTCGGGATAATTTAGAATCATTTTTTAGAATTTTTTTTCTTTTTAGAAAAAAATCATTTTTAAATTATCTTTTAAGAAAGAAAAAATTTTTTTTTTAGGAGATAATTCAGAAATTTTCACAAAACCAAAATTACCTAATGCAATCGGCTTTTCAACAAAATGAAACAAAAGTAAGTAAAATGGTAATTACTATAAACCTTACCGACTTAGTAATATTGGATGAGAATGTAAAACAGTAGCAGCTAAAAAAGTTTTGCCGCAACCAGGAAACCCATGAATGACAAGCCAAAACTGATCTGCAATGCAAATTGCTGCTGATTAATAAAGCAAGAGAGATGGATAAGTTATGGAAAAGTTTTACAGAAATGAAATTAAATGATTCAAAATCTGGATTAGGGAAGCACAGTGAAAAAATATACACCATGAAAATAGTTTTAAATCGGAGTTTGAATTGACGAAAAAAAAGTAAAATGGGAAAATTGCAAAGTCAAGCAATATTAATAGGTGATGAATTCCACAACACTCATAATGGTACATTAAAAATAAACGTAAACTAAATCTCTCAAATCAAAAACTGCAGGGAATACAACAAGAACTCAGACAATAGATTAAAAATCGTAATTCAAGACATTTACATCCCGCACTAATTATAATTTTCATTTTGCTAGCCAATCTTTTCTTTATTCCTTTCTCTTCTGTTCCGTTTATGCTTTTTTAGTGTTCGTATTCTCATTCTCACTTTAAATATCGTACTGTTCTTAAAAAATCGCATAAAGAAATTTCGATCTACGATGTCGATACATGCATAAAAAAGAAAAATACTTTGTTATCTCCTAACCTATTTGAAAAAGTAAAATCTGGATTTTTATGGATTTGAAATTTTAAAACCTTGCGATGATAGATTGACTAGTAAACTCTCCAATTTTTCCAACAGATTTACTCGTAACACGCGATAAAAAGGTAATCTCGGTACATTTCCTTCTCGGAAAAGTCGATCTTCTAGCGCAGTAGGCGTTAATAAAGTCCGCTCATCAGGTAGGTAATTTTTCGATAAAAGATGTGCCAAATGTTTCTGTCCATATTTTTCAAAATATGCTATTAATGGATCAAGGGCATTCGCTGATTTCCGATATTGCCGAATAAATTCCATCACACGTAGAGCACGTCTTGTCTGTAAGTGAATATGAATTCGAACAAGATTAATAGAAATTTACGCTGCAAATAAAAGTGAACAACTAGGAAGCAAGAATAGGAGAAAACTGAATCTCAGAAATTTTTACAAGATTCTTCTACACTGATTTAACTTCAGAACAAAATGATCACTGTGCATCACTTTCATGGAGGATCCGTTTTTTATAATGTGTCCTAATTACTCGTATCTTCTACCAAACAAATTATGTACTCATCCAACCCATCATATTCACTACCAATAATTTTTAACTATTTTTTAATACTAAGAATAAGTTACTTCCATCTGACATGTCTTTCTTACATTTGAATGTATTACATAAAAAGATATATGAGAAATACTATATGAATATATGAAATGATTCAAAAAATTATGTGACAATAATAACCGATATGCGTCAGTCCAACTGAAATAATTACAAAATTTTGCATCAACCACTGAAGCATATTCTATGTTTTACATAATTTACTTCATCAATTTAAAAACTACGAAATTTAAACAAATCCTATTCTATTTTGCCATTATTGTATATTTGGAGAATTTGTGAAAAACGTGATAGAACAACCAAATTAGGAAAAAAAGACAATGAACCATGTAAAATATGAAAAAAACAAAAAAGAATCCGAACAAATAAAACAATCATTTTAAAAAATGTAAAATATTAAATTTGTTATGGAAGAGAAAAAGAACAAAAAACAACCAACCATGCTAAGGATAACTTCTTGTTGATCATCAGTAAAGATTTCCTCCGAACACATAAACGGAATAGCATCACGTGGTTCGAAATCCTGCATCAATGCTTCCGTAGCTATCGTTAATATTCGATTATCTTTTTCTAATAACATTTTTTAAACTGAAAAAAAAAAAAAGAAACTGTTTATTTAAATAAATTACCATTTAAGTTATAAAAAATTATTATAATAGGAATAATTACATTAACAGAATGAATCAAACTAAACTGAAAAACAGAAGAAAAAAAATAAAAAAGAAACTCTAATTTATGATAAAAAAGCCTTCATCATTCTTACCTTTTACTAATATTCCCTCCTTTTTTCTTTATTTTTGAAATTATTTACAATTTCGTTTTTCCGCTAATCTTATCTATCTCTGCTCCCTCCTTTCTTACAGTGCTTTCTTCATTTCGGATATTTAATGAGTGAAAATGCTAAATTCCAATTAATATAACTCTGTAAAAACTTTAATAAATCTTATCATAGTTCCAATCTTAAGATTTATTTCTTTTTTTTTTGTTCTTATCAATCACTAATTCTCTCCAAATTTCATACTATATAACTCATTTTCTTCTAACATTTGTTATTTTAATAGTCAAAAATAACTAAACAATTTTTTTTTTTTTTTCATAATTTAGTGCTATTGAAAGTTTAATGGTCTAATATTACGTATTGTTTCTTGATCACGTCATTCACGTGTTACAACGTAAATGAAGTGTTAGGTATGATTGTAATAGAACAACATCAGTCAATGTTTTATTTTCATTTAGCTTAAAATTCAATTTATATCTTCTATATTGACTATAATTTAAAAAAAAGGATGAAAAGTTACCAGCAAATGTGTCATGTAGAATACCTGAAAAGTGATAAGTTGTGATAGTTACGAATATCTTTCGGATTATTTACCATTGCGTTTAAATCTTAATGTTGCATTTAGTAACAAATTTAATCGAAATAGTTGAATTTGATTTTGAAATTTAAAAATCAATAATAAAATTGATGAGACAATTCCAAAAAGCAAAATGTTCGACTATTTTATAAATGAATTAATAAATTAATGAACTGAATCAAATGTGTAGTCATAAATAAATTTTTAATGAATTTATTACACAAAATTGTTAAAGATATATTCTTATTATAAAATCAAATCTTTCCATCTTTTATATTTAATTATTTTGTTAATTTTTTTTTTTAAATATTTTGTTAAATTATATGTTGTTAATTTTTAATACTCTATTGTTAGTTATTACCATCCACTGTTTTCAGATTTCATTTTCTTAGTACCATAATTATCACATTTATATAGTAATTACAAATTTTTAAATTGAAAAATTAGATACAGATTGCATTGCATTTGATAATTTCTTTCAAAATTTACCCAATTACTACCGCAGAATAGCTATATCAGAAGAAGGAAAAAAAAAAGGAAAGAAAAAGAAATGACTGATATGAAATTGATATCATAAAATAACATTGGATAAATTACTTTTAGATAAATTAGATAAATTACTTTATCATGAAGGTTACTCCCAAAATTATATAACTAATAGTTAAAGAAAAGGAAAAATCATTTTTAAAATGATAAAAAATTAACATTTCAGTGATAAGCAAAATAGTTAATAGAAAGAATGACTCATAATTCACTTTTCAATACAAAGTCCCAAACGACCGGACCATTTACCATATCCCATACAAACATGTTGTGATGATCCGGAATAAACGTGTTCTGGATCACATTTCACTACTGCTATTGTGTTAAGATCATATTTGGAATCATCAATTGTAGTACCACTGTATATTACCTTTAAAGTAATATTACAATTTCATTTGAAATAAATGAAACATTTTCCTTCAATTTAAAGAGAATTATTTGATATATTTTCAAAAATTTGTTTCCTTTTTTTATGACTTTCTGAAAAAAAAACTTTTAAGCTTAATATAGACCAAATCTTTATTAAGCTTAGTTAACTAGTGAATATTTTTTCTGCAACTAACCTAGTAATAATTAACAATAATAATAATAATAATAATAATAATAATAAATAATAATAATAATAATAATAATAATAATAATAGTAATAATAATAATAATAATAATAATAATAATAATAATAATAATAATAATAATAGATGACAAATGATGACAGTAATAGCAAAATTATTATTAATAATAAATGAATTTTGAAAATTTATTTCAACTTACTGTGCCATTATTCACTTTGATTGGCTCACAATACTTTGCATTTATAAGGAAATATCCTGACCAAATTGATACACATTTTGGCGGCTCTGCAGACCATCTACCATCGAAACATAATGACTGAGATTCACCTTTTACTGTAAAATCCGGATCACATATAAAGATGGCTCTCGTACCGGAAACAAGCTTAGTTAGTGGTGCTTCCTTGGTCGTATAAGGCTATAAACATTGAATTATTCATCTTTCTGCATTAAATTCTTTTTTTTTTTTTTTTGAAATCTTTCTTTCGAGCTGTTGAAGTAATTTTTGCGGTGGTGAAACCATTTAATTAATTAATTTCAATACTAACCGTCATATAATGAATGGTACCAGGAAAATTTTCGATTTGTGAGCACGGTTTACCAGAATCCAACGGAACACATTTACCTAAAATTAATTAACTGATTCAGTTTTCATGGTTACAAAATTATCTATCTTCTACACTGATTGATTGTTTCTGATAAAATTTTTGTAATTTAATTGAAATCTTTAATTTCAATCAGTAGAAGAAAAAAATGATTAAAGTTTAATAGTTTGAAGATGTTTAAGTTTAAAAAGTTTAAAAATGATTAAAGTATAATTGTTTTCACAATTTAGTTTAATTTTCACCTATTTTTTTGTTCCATTTAGAATTTGACTCGCAAAAAGCAGTCACCGAGCCAACTGCGATATAATTTGTATTACATTTTAACAATGCCATTGTACCTTCTTCTATTACTGATTGTAATGACGAAGGTAAATATGATATTTCGCCGTTAGTTCGAATTCCAAATGGTGAACAGAACACTGTAAAATTGTTTTTGTCTCTCTTTTCTTGCTAACAATAGATTATGAGAAATATGAAAGATTAGTAATGCACACAATAATAATAAATTATTATTATTTTTATTATTATTATCAATTATTATTATTATTTATCATTATTATAGTAATTTTGAAATAAGATTAATAAGAGGTAAAACAAATTTTATTGAAAAGGAAAACGAGCACTTACTTGCTGTTATTTGTTGAATTTCAATTAATACATAAAAGGAAACCAATGTTTTCCTTGTGATAATTTTGATTATTTGTAATTTCAGCATTCTATAATCTTCTATAGGGAAAAAAATGAGAGAAATGATTGCTAAATGTTGAAATGAGACTTCAATTTGCTCAAGTTTGAATATAAATTAGTCCTTAAAATTATTGGCATTATCTAAAATATTTTCACCATTCACAAGCCATTATCCACTTCAAATAATAAGTTTTAAGTTTTAAATTTAAAATAAAATAATGCATCTATGAATTAAGTAGAAAAAATAATTCGCATATTCAAAATGACACAAACTAAATTATGTTACTGAGTGATGTATGATGTTGTTAGTATAATGTGAGTGGCAGTTAAAATGTTATTTAATTATGCAAAATTGTGATTATCGTTGTTTTGATATAAAATAAGCAGAAATGATCGATGATGATGAAAACTGTATTGTATCTCACATCGATTAATAATTGATGATTCATTGAATGATTATTTATTTGAATCTAAAAACATGTACAAAAGACGACAATCTAGAAAGGAACAATTAATATTGTTATTTCTCATATTATTGATTACTGAAACATTTGAAAGAGCGGGGAAAAACTAAATTATATTATGTATTGAAAAGCAATTATTACTATTATTATTTAAATATTCAAAACCAAATCTTAATAATATTAAATGATATAAAACATAGCAGAAGATAATTTCATATGAAAATCTAAGTTTTAATTAGCAATAAATCAAGTTCAAAAATTAAAGAACAAAAAAAAAAAAAAAAAAAAACAAATAAATTAAAAAAAAATTACAGAAAAAAATACTTAATTAACAATACTTAAAGACCAGAAGTAAGACCGCATTTTATCAATAAAAAAATAAAATACCAGTAATTTTTGTAAAAACAAAAAGAAACTCGTCCTGAAACTTATTTTTATTTTTAAAAGTATGATAAAACCTTAATATACTATACCAAAAAATACAATTGAAAAAATTAGAATTTTTGAAATTTTCTAGAATGGAAGTAAATATCTTCAACAACAAAATTAAACTTAATAGCTCTAGAATGAACTATTAATCATGAAATTTTTTTTTTAATTTCTTAAGACAAATTTTGAGAAATAAAATTTGGCAAAATCTTTTACTATTCAAGAAAAAATTTACTTATGTTTGGCAAAATTTTGATGATAATAATAAATTCATTTGTGAACGTTATTTGCCTTTTTTTTCTATAAATTTTGTCGATTTCATTCGGTAAAGTTTGACACTCTAAATCCTTTGAAGCAAGTCTTAATTTTGTGTCCCATTGAAAAATAAATTTAAAAGGTTTTCAAATAAAAACAAAGTACTAATTTTCTTCAATAGCTTATTGATTATAAAATGGATACGAAAATTTGAAAAAAAAAGAAACTAATTAAAAATTTTTATAAATTCAATTTCTAATGGTAAAAATTAAATTCCCAATAAATTTTTTTTATAGCTTTACTTTCCTCACGCAGTTTTAATAATTACATATATAAATTTGTCTTAAGAAATTGAAACTGATGAGTATTACGAGTAAAGCACATAATTACATAAATGCTTGGTGTGATATAAAATGTATGAAAAAGATACAACTATTAACGAATAGTTTTGTTTTCTGTAAAAGATTTTCTAAAAATTAAGACTGCAAAAATCATTTTTTAAAAATATTGCAATGAATAATAAAATTATTAATGGAATTTATTTGTATTGGCATGTATTATGTAAACTGAAACTGCATGAATAAGTGCAACATGAGAGTGCATCATGCAGTCAGCAGTTAACATGCATTGAAAGTGCATAAAATTCAGTAACCTATCTAATACTCACAGCTTTTCCATGCTAAGATAGAAGATCGAAGAGAATTTAGTTTACGATAGCCAAATAAATGATTACTACCTGTTTGGCTTGTTTGTCGTGTCGTAATGAATGATTGGTTTGATTGTTGATTGTGTGAGTTTGTTCGTTTCCATCGGTAGTAAACATTTGTTGTGTGAAAGTTATCTGTTATGTTATTTTTTGGGAAAGTCGTTTTATTTAAAAGTGACAGCATATATCAATATTGAAAAAATTAATTGATTTTCATAAATTTTTAAATGTTATCGTTCCTAAGTAAAATTTTTATAGTTGCAGGAATGTGCGCAATCTCAGGAATCTCAGAAAAGTTCGTGGTAAACTAACAATATCGGGATCGAATTGAAAATGCACACCGACTTCTTGCATTCTGCACATTTCCGTTTCTTCTTCTTTTCCTGAATGTACGATTAAAATGAACTAATTGAATCTGAAATACACGAACAGTTAATTTCAAATAAGGTGAGCCAACTGAACTACGTAAAATTCATGCAATAAGAACAAGTAACAGACAAGAAAATACAGTTAATTGAACACGTAAAATTCATGCATCAATAAGAAATACCAACTAAAAGCATGCAGTTAATTGAACAACATAAAATAAATGCAGTAGCAATAAGTAGGATTAAAGCATGCAGTTAGTTAAACATGCAGCATGAACAACAAACAAACAAAAACATGCAGTTGGTACATGCATAAATATAAGTACTTAACAAAGGTATGCAATTAATTAAAAAAAAGTAAAAGAACGGATGAACATTAAATAACGAATAAAAGCATGCAATCAGTTAAACATGCAACATGGATAAATAGCAAACGAAAAACATGCATTTAGTACATGCACCAATATAAGTACTTAACAAAGGCATGCAAAGCATGCGGTTAGTTAAACATGCAGCATGCATAAGTAACAAAACAAAAACATGCAATCATACATATATAAATATAAATAACATATATAAATATAAAAAACCAACAAAAGCATGCAGTTAGTTAAATCACGTAAAATTCATGCAATAACAGTAAGAAACAATAGCATGCAATTAGTTAGACATATAAAATGAAGCATCAAAAATAAGTAACAAATAAAAGCATGCAATTAATCAAATCGCGTAAATACTTGCGATAGCAATAAGCAATAAAAAAGCATGCAGTTAGTAACGCATAAAATAAATAAAATAATAAAATATATAAATAAAATATAATATATAAATAAATAAAATATAATAATAAATAAAAATATGCAGTTAGTCGAACCGCGTTCATGCAATATTAATAAGTAAAAAAGAAAAGAAAAAAACAGAAGTATGCAGTTAGTTGAACATGCGGCAACGATAAGTAATAAACAGAAGCCTAACAAAAACATGCAGTTACTTAAAAAAACTAAAATGATCTCATGAACCGTAAGTAACAAACAAAAGGATGCAATTAGTTGAAAAAACGTAAAATGCACTTAATTAAGTCACGTAAAATACACGCGACGTCAATAAAACAAAAAAAAGCTCATAGTTAAATCACATAAAACTTATGCATTAATAGTAAGTAACGAGCAAAAGCATGCAGTTAGTAAAGGCAACTCAAAAATGCAGAAAAAGTAAGGGAAAAGGGAAATGAATTAATTAATTTAATGCAAGCAATTTAAAATATAATTTGAAAATGTAAGTGAAATTAGCGAAAACCATGCAGCAATTAGAAAAAAATAAAATGCATGCAAATATGAAGTTAACTAAATATCAGTCAAAAATGCTGAGGAGAAATAGGTGAGGCTATTAAAAGACATGCAGTTAGTGAAATTAAATATTTAAAAAACATGCAAGAAAGGAGCTATTTAAAGTTACAACTTGATTTAAAAATAAAAATATGCCAAAAAATGAGATCAATTTAATGGAGCTAGCAGAAAGCATGCAGTTAACAAAATGTAGTATCAGAAAATATGCAACAAAAAAGTCCGGAAAAAAATTGAGGAAAAGAAAAATTGAAAATCGGTAAAGAACTTAAAGAGGGGTTAAAAAAATACAAAAATATTCCAATGCCCAAAATGATTGGGATAAATTGGAAAAAATGAAAAACGAAAACAGTATCGAAATTAAAAAAAGCAACAAAAAGTTAAAAATGTAAGAATAATCGAAGATAATTTGCATTTCAAAAAAATTCTAAAAATCCAAAAATCATTATTGGAAAATTAGGAAATTAAAACAAAAACTTCGTTTTTCTAATGTTTGGAAATTGAACTAAAAATTGGAAAATCTAATAACTCATTCAGAAAATTTGGAATTTGACAAATGAAAATAGAAGAATTCAAGAAGGCTAAAAAGTTAGATAAGTCTACAATTTAAACATTTGAAATTTCAGCTTAAAAGAATGTTCCTGGCTTAAAATTATGCTTAATTTCAATTAATTTTAGTGCCAAAAAATAAGTATCGAGCTATAAATGGCTACCTAAATCCCAAATTGGGTACCAACTCGTAGTACATGTAAAAAAAGCGCGCAAAAAAATTAAATATTATAAATAAAACTAAATAAATATTAAATATCAGTTGAATTACAACTACATAACAAAAATGTTGTCAAATATTCAAAATACATTTAAACATGAAATATTAAAAACTTAACTAGAACGCGAGTTGGTACCCCATCAATAAAAGAAGGTTCAGTAAAAAGTAAATATAAGCATCGGGAAAACAACCAACTTGAAAAAAAAAGGTGAAAATAAAATAATGTCGAAATTGAAAATAAAAATGGAAATTGCGTTTAAATAGAACAAAAATTTCCCTACAAATTTGAAATTTTGACAACAGTATCATCAA